GCTGCCTCCTCCTAATCCTGAGTGTGACATGATTAGTTCCCTGGAAGGAACCTGCCCATCCAGCATAGTATTGGCGTAGATGTCAAAGGCATTTTTTCAGTGACTTATGGCACCATAAGTGAGGTGATTTGTGTTACCTATAGAACAATGAGGCATTTTGGCACATTAGGAAAGATTTCCTCACTTTGTTGTGGAGCATTGGCACAGCTGCCCAGGGCAGTGGCGGAGTCACCATCCCTGGAAGTGTCCAAAAAGCATGTGGCTGTGGTGCTTGGTGTGGTTTAGTGGTGAACATGGCCATGCTGGGGGAATGGTTGGACTTGATAATCTTAAAGACCTTTTCCAACCTTCATGATTCTGTGATTCCATGACTATCCAGGAGGATTGAAATGCTGTTAGCTTCCGTAGGCACTGTCATACATGGATATTTAATGTTGTGGAGTATTTTACTTGACCCCAACCTGCCCTGACCATCAAACTAAAAGCAATTCTGAAGTCTGAGTCTCCAGTTATCATTCAGTTCCAGAAACTGTACCTCAGGAAATGAACCCAAACTCTAGCCATGACCTGTCTGATCTCTGAGAATTAATATGGAAGGTAGTGGGGTGGGAAATAGCACAGGAGCAGAGATTCCAGGAGTTCATGGAGTGTGTAAAGTAGTGTTGAAACAGTTGGGAAACTCGTGTGTTGTGTTCTTGTTCTCTCTCCAGGTGTTTGACTCAAATGTTAACAAGGACAAGCTGCTGAGGCTAAAACTGGGCTCTGGCAAGGTCATCAAGGTACATCTTCTGGCAATTAATTGTACTAATTGAAGTCTCAGATCTCTGAGTTACTGAAGATCATGTTCAGGATTCAGAGAGGCTATTCCAGTTTCATTTGATAGGAAACACTCCAACAGTGACTCCCTCAAACTTCTTACTCAGCACAATATAGCCCTGCCTCCTCTTCAGTGCCTGTTAGAAATTGTCCTGTTTGGTAAAAGGAAGGTTCCTGTTTTCAAGAACTGCCTTTGTTTTTCTGAAGTCAATCGATTCCCTTCCTCACAGGGAATTTTGAGGATTTGACTTTGTGAACAACCTTGGGTCCTTACCTGCTCATTGTGCTCAGATCTTATCTCAGCTCTGATACACCCTGGGAGGAGAGCAGGGGTGGAGACACCTGGCAGGTTTTTAGGGTGGTCTAGCACAAGACAGTGCTGCTGCTGTCAGTGGTGTCACCTGCTCAGTCTGATTATGAGGGTTTGGCTGTGTGGGAATTTTTCAGTCCAGGTGGTGTAATATTCCCTTATGTGTTTCCACAAAATCGGGTTTGAATCAGAGATACTTTTGTTCAGGTCACTTTCACCACCTGAGTCATTTGATATATGACCTGTTACAAGTTGTTCTTTATTGAAGATGTGCTATTTTTGTTTTAACCTCTATCTTATTCATGTTTCCTGGGTGTCAGAGCCATCCTGTTCAGTGCTGGCATCACTTCTACATCCCTCACCACAACTGTTTTCTTTGAGTGCTTTGTAAATCCAACCAGAGCAATTCAGATCTCGGTGATGTCAAGTCCAGTTCTTCTCTAGGGTGCTGAGAGAGGTCACCACTGTGTGGTGGAGTTGTAGAATTATCCCTAAGTTAATGTAGGAATTTATAACTGGCCATGATGATTTGTGGTAGGACAAAGGTTTAGTGCTGCACACTGAAAAGAAATAGGATGTTACAAGGATCTCTGTTTATTTTGGAATCTTCTAGAACTGGTGTGTGAAGTTGCCTTTATTGGGGTAATTAAAACAAACTAATGTCACTGATCAAACTGTTTTCTCTTCTGTTGTCCCTGAAAACCAAAGGGCTGGGAAGAAGGAATGATGGGGATGAAGAAAGGAGGGAGAAGGTACCTCATTATCCCTCCAGCCTGGGCCTATGGAGCTCAGGGTGTGACTGGTCGAGTCCCTCCAGACTCTACTCTGGTGTTTGAGGTGGAGGTCAGGAGGGTGAGTGTCTCCTGCCAAGTGTTTGTTTTACATCAGCTTTGTGGCTCTTGGGTGTCTGTGGGGTGGAAACCTGCTGTTGGCATGAGAACTGCAGCCCAGAGACTGTTATAACCCAAATACCTCAGGAAGATATGTATCTCTAATTAAAAACAAACAGAAACAGAACCCTCAACCCAGAAAATCCCTCTAGGCTGTTTGCTGAGACGTGTCTGTTGTAACTGGTTGGGATGTTTTAGTTGTCTTATTTGTCAGTCACTTGGGCAAACAAAATTCTCCAGGAGGAATGGCAGGGTGTAAGGACTCAGCCTCTCCAGCTCTGAATCAGTTGTCTGCAGCTACTTGAAGTGCCTGAGCTGACAGGGAGAGGCAGCAAATAAACAAGTTGCTGACAACTTTTACAGGAACCCTGAAAAACATCTCTTCTGCTACATTCCTTTTAAGGTGAAGCTGGTAAAGGAAAGCTCTGGCTCGGATGCACTGAGTGTTAGCTCCAGGGATTCTGCTGCACCTTCTCCAGTTCCCAGCTCAGATGGTTTCTCTGCAGACACTGGTTTGTTGCCTCCATCCACAATCCCTCCAAAGCCTGGGTAAGGAGCAGCACAACTTGGTGCTTTAAAGATAGGAATGCTCAACATCCTGTGGCACGATGCTGCACTAACACATCCTTTGGCACATGTGGGGCCTCTGTGTGCCAACTCAGTGCCCTCAGTGTGCCAGAGCAATGTTTGCTAACAGGGCTTGTAGAGGTTTTCTGCTTGAATGCTGACTTGGAGATTGAAAACAACTGAAATGGGCTCAGTGAAGGAAGTGATTCCTCTACAGCGTTCCTGAGATCTAGTGTGATTAAGCTGTGTGGGTGCTGCTGTAACAGCTGTCTGGTCTCAGCTGGCAGTGTAGAAATCAGTTTGGACCTTCTCACTCTCTATAGCTCCCTGATAGGAGCTGCAGCCAGATGGGGGTTGGTCTCTTTTCCCGGGGAGCAAGTGACAGGACCAGAGGAAACAGCCTCAAGTTGTGCCAGGTGAGATTCAGGTTGGATATTAGGAAAAACTTCACAGAAAAGGTGATCAAGTATTGGCAGAGGCTGTGCAGGGCAGTGGTGGAGTCGCCATCCCTGGAGGGGTTCAAAAAATGTGGATGTGACACTTGGAGACATGGTTTTGTGGTGAACATGGTGGTGCTGGGCTGATATTTGGGTCGTAGATGTCTTTGCCAGCCTTGGTGATTCTAAGATCTGTTTCTCAAATTAAACAGTCAGTCACTGTTTTTAGGGTGCCCAAGGAAATGCTGCTTTTGTTGCCATAAGTAGTCTGTTATTGGGCTTGGTTAAAATTGTTTGTACCAGAATGTGGTTGTTAGAGCAATCAACAAATTCATCTTTCTTTAATCAGCAGTTCCACAGCTGTGGGACTTGTCTATACTGATGTCTTGAACTTATCTACAGCTAATGCTGCAAAGAATCCTCCAAATCTTCACAATATAAGAACACAGTTTTCCTAGGGGGAGGTCTGTTTGTATTTAGAAATCCAGAATATTGGATCCTGAGTTTCCTCTTGGTTGATCTCCAGTATGAACATCTGTTTGGCTTTGCAGGGAACCAGCAGTCCGGGCCAAGTCCAACTCCATCAGTGAGCAGCTAGCAGTAAGTGTGGTTTTTCCTAACTAATGAAGCCTTGAGTAGGGAAGTTTGTTTGGTTTCACCTTGGCTTTTGGTATTGCTGAGGATAAAGTGAGCATCATGCAAGCAAGACTGGAATGTTCACCTTGCTGACAGCAGGTTAGGACCTTGGTTTTGAAGGAATTAATAGTTGGACTTGATTAGTGGTTAGGCTCAGTGTCCTTAGAGGTCTGTTCCAACCTTAATGATTCTGTGATTACTGAGGAATCTCAGTCCCAGTTCCTACTCTGACCATGTGGATGTTCACAAGCATAGTTGCCTTTTTGGATAAATAGACAAATGCTAAGTGGGTAATAATTGGGGCGTTCAGGATAAGTTTATAGAGTTACATGACAAGACTTCGTGTGTCTCAGGATAGAAGAAAGTACTACGCATCTTCCTAAATACACACATTTTATTCTTGTTGCTGTGTTTTGTGATTCTCCTCTGTAGTGCCAGCAGTGTCATCCCAAGAGGAGAGTGTTTAAATCAAACCAGATTAACAAATCCATTGTAAAGGAGTTTGTCACAGACAGTGAAACCTTGAAACAGCCAAAATTAAGTCAGAGATTTAGATGTCTAATCATAACAGATGTGTCTGTGATAGCTGAAAAGCCTGAGCTGGGAGACAAAGGGAGAGTAACTAAATGTCTGTTTTAGAACCCAGATGTAGCCAAGGCAAAGCTGATTTCTCGGATGGCCAAGATGGGACAGCCCATGCTGCCCTTCCTCGCTGGCACAACGGGCAGTCAGCTGGACTCCAGTGACTCAGAAATAGAGGTACATCACCAGCCACAGCAGTGTGGCTTTTTTAATGCTTTTCCTACAGTGGGAATTGCTTAAAGTGGAATCTGGAGCAATGGCTCTGCCCTTGTACAGGGAAAATTCGCTCTGGTTCTGTGGGAAAAGGGCCAATAATTCCACTAGGTAGTTCACTTGGGTTAATTGGATCTCAAGTGGTCTTGGGCTCAGCCTGTTTGCTTGTTCTTTAGCATTTGTTGTAACATGAATAAATGTTTTTAGGATCCAAATACCATGAGAGGAACAGCACAACCAGTTGCTTCATCTTCTGTGAGACCATCCCAGCCAGCTCATGCAGTGCTGCCCACAGTGTCCACACAAGGTGAGGTGCTGGGGAGCCCAGGGCTGGTGTGCTGACATGGCACTTGCAGGATCCAAGGGCTGTACAAACAGAAGATTCCTTTCAGGAACTGAAATAGGAACTAATAGTTTCTAATAAGGTTTGCTGAGCCACAGCTCCATAAGTGCATTGATCCATGAAGCACAGGACAAGTCCCTGGAGGATGTCTTCAAGGTCTGTGCACACTGTGCTTGAGGAAGAGCACACACCATGCATGAGCTGCTCTGGCAGTGGGTGCTGGGGTGGCCCTGGGGATTCTAGGCATGTGATTTCTAAGTGGAATGTTACAGATCCTTTCCCAGTAATGGATTTGTTCTGTTTGAAATCGGTGGGAGTCAGAGGGAAGGGCAGCATAGGGCTGGCAGCTCTGCAGTGGCCTTGTCTTCCCATGATGGAATAGTCACATCAGCTGCTGGTCAGCTGAGCAGCTTTGAGTCAGCCTGAATAACATCTTGTGTCAGTCAGGCTCAGAGCTACCTCTGTGTGACTGAAACAAGGCTGTCTAAAGGTTGCCCAGGGAGGCTGTGGCTGCCCCAACCCTGGCAGTGTTCACAGCCAGGTTGGCTAAAGCCTTGAGCAACCTGCTCTGGTGGGAGGTGTCCCTGCCCAGGGCAGGGGGTTGGGGCTGGATGATCTCTTAAGGTCCATTCCAACCTTTACCGTACTATGAAACTATACTATGAAATGTGGCTGTAAGTGAGATTTCTGTGAGAGGTTGCTCTTTTCTTGACCTTTTATCATCTGCTTGGCTGTATTTAATTTTCACAAGGCTCCAGACAGACTTGTCTTAAATTTTTGTCTATTTAGTGGTTATGAGTGGCTGAGGGGACTTTGTCCACCTGGAGAAGAGAAGAGGAGACTGAGGGGAGATCTCATCACTGTATGCAACTTCCTCCCGAGGGGCAGTGCAGGGGCAGGTCTGAGCTGTGCCCTCTGGGAACAGTGATAGGACTGGGAACAGCTGGAGCTGTGTCAGGGGAGGGTGAGGTTGGATACCAGGAAAAGGTTCTTCCCCCAGAGGTGTTTGGGCACTGAACAGCTCCCCAGGGCAGTGGTCACAGCCCCAAGGCTGACAGAGCTCCAGGAGTGTTTGGCCAGTGCTCTCAGGCACAGGGTGCAGTGTTGGGGTGTCCTGTGCAGGGACAGGAGTTGGGCTGATGATCCTTGGGGGTCCTTCCAGCTCAGGAGATTCTGTGATTCTGTGGTATTCTGGCCATTTCACAGTGGGTGAGTTAATTTATTTCTAGCTCCTTTATAACATGCTGAATTTGTTTCTCCTTTTCCAGTACCTCAAGCATCTGGTGCTGCACCTCCAGTGTCTTCTGCTGCTTTAATCCCTGCAACAATGCAGCCTCACTCAGCTCTGCCTGGAGGAGCACAGGGATTTCAGGTACCAAAATGACATCAAAGAGAATAGTGGCACTTCTGTCCTGTCTCCTAAGTCTCACTGTCTTCCACATCACTGGCAGCAAGGGCTGTCTAGCAGCATTTAAAGATGAAAATTCCAAGCTGTTTCCTGGGACTGTTTGGCATTCTCAGGTTGTTTCTGTCACATACCTTTTAGAACTTTACTAAAGGGCTAATGTTCTGTTTGCTGGTGTCTCTTAATGCTGAACTGAGGATTATCCAGGCTGTGTTTAATATCTCAATTTTTGGTGGATGCAATAAAAATCTCCATGTACTTGAGCAACCAGCAAGAAAGTTGCAATTAAGTCATGTTGCACTTCTTCAGCCCTTCCTAGGACTTGTGTTCAAGTTAGCATAACCAGAGTGAGGTGTTCACATGTTGATCTTTGATTCTCACAAATGGAGGGCAATGTGCTTAAATTTGAATGAAGAAGATATTAAGCTTATTAATTATATTTTACTTAACTAAAAATTAAGTAAAATTTATTAACTAATAGCTATTGAACTTGGCTAACCTGAACACATAACTAAGCCTTGAAACAAGAGTGACTGATATCTCCTCTTTACTGTGACTTGTGGAATTTAATTTTCCAGCTCCTTAATTCTGGTTTTTTCCTTTCCTTCCTCTGGGGCTTGAAACAATGTGAAAAACACTTAGGTGTAGGCAGAGGGGGAAATACCAACCCATGTTCTAACCTATTGAACTTGTTCTGCAAGGCATATCCAGGAATGGCATTTGCTTACCCTCAAACTGCTGCATCTGCTTCTCAGCTCCAGCCTGTGGGTCAGATGTATCCTGCCCCTTACCAAGGTAGGTTTGAAAAGTACCTTCTCAGGAGGCTGCAAAACCTGTAATAAACTGTAGTGCTGATTTAGTAGCAACTGTAGCTTACATGTACATATTCATCTTGTCTGTAATGCTGTGCTGTCTCACAGATGCTGATTTATTTTTTTTAAATGGCAAATAGAGACAGATATTTCCCAGTAAATATCCATCTTCTTCTTACCTTAAGGAATTTTGTGCAGTTTGGAAGGGCATGGAATATCTAGGTGTCATCCCAAGACTGTGTGTTACTAAAGGAATTTTAGAGCTGGTGCTGCCAGTTGTATTTGTAATAGTCAAGTTACTTTATCAGCCAGGGAAATAATTGTACAAGGAATGGAAGGTGCATGAAGAGATCTTCATTAGAAGGTATAACCTTCCTAGTCCTTTCCTCCTTGGGAAGGACTAAAGGCATTTAAATAATCACTTAGGCAATCCCTATTGGTCAAGTCTTGGGTATAGCTTAGCCTTTCTGCAGCATGTTTTTCAGTCCAGTTTCAGAAGTAAACCTTCCTTCCTATTGTTTGATTGTACCTCTTTGCACTCCTGCTGTAGTGTGTCTGGGGCTTTGCTCTTGTTGACCTGAGTGCTGTCACATGGCTCAAGAATTTCCTGTCCTCACAAACATCTTCAGGTTATTGGGAAATACCTACATTATTAGTTTTCCAAGTACTTTAGTTTTATTCCTGGGTAGAGTCACTGTCCTCATGGCAGGCTACAAACTGCTAAGCACTACTTTGGCTAGTTGTGTGTTCAGGCCCTTCCCCTTGTCACTGTGGATCAGTCTCCTTTCCCTTGCAGCAGCTGGGGATGTCACTTCCTTTCTGATGACAGAAGCTCGACAACACAACACTGAGATCAGACTGGCTGTCAGCAAAGTAGTAGATAAAATGGATCACTTGGCTGCCAAGGTATGTGTGGCTTGTTAGGGGCGTTGCTGCTCTCTGCTCCCTAGATGGAATCTGAGGAGTTGATTCTATTTAACTACCTGAATTAAGTCTGTGATGTACTGAGGGAAAATTCCAATAGGATCACACCATTGAGGGGTTAGAATGGAGCTTAGAGATCATCCAGCCTCAACCCCCTGCCCTGGGCAGGGACACCTCCCACCAGAGCAGGTTGCTCAAGGCTTTAGCCAACCTGGCTGTGAACACTGCCAGGGTTGGGGCAGCCACAGCCTCTCTAGGCAACCTGGGCCAGTGTCTCACCACTCTCACAGCAAAAACTTCTGCCTGAGATCTAGTCTAAATTTCCCTTTTTCAATTTCTCCTCATTGCCCCTTGTCCTGTCCCTGCAGTTCCTAACCCAGAGTCCCTCTGCAGCTTCCCTGGAGCCCCTTCAGCTCCTGGAAGATATCTTCTAGTATACCTTGAAGCAGTAGCAGTTCAGCTGCTGTGAAAAAGCAAAGCCTAGGCTTGGGGAAAGGTGCTGTCTCTTACTGTCTTAAATACCATATCGTTGTTTGGAGAGATAAATATAATATTTTTGGGGATATATATCCTTGTTTAGAGAGATTTCCTGCCCTGCAAGAGGTTTCACAGTGGATTCAGTAGCCTATACAGCTGAGGAGGTGGAATGGTAAAATGCCTCTTTGCTCATGTCTGACTCTTACCTACACCATAAACTCACTTGCTTACACCCTTAAATTCACTTAATTCACATCTGGCTTAAGAATGGCTTACCCTGCAGGTGGAGGAGCTGAAGAAACAAAGCTCTACTAACAGCTCACTGCTGCCTGGAATCTCCTCTGTCACCATGGAAGCCTCCATGATCATGAGCAATATCCAACGCATCATCCAGGTGAGCATTCCCAGCCTGATTTGACTCCTTCTCTAAGCAACTGGGGCCCATGGTGTTATTCCTAATGAGAACAGCCACACTGGCTGGACCCAGATGTATATCCACCCACATCTGTGTTTACATGGCCATAAGCAGTGTGGGATATACAGTGACTCCCACCCACTCCCCCCTCCAATAAAGAGCTCTTCTCCACAGGTTGTGCTTTGAGTATTTTCTGAGCCAGAGTTACTGCTATTTAACAGACATTGGCAAAAGTTCATGTAAGAGAAGTTCAGCCTCTTCCAAACCATTATGGACTTACCCCCAGGATCCTGCAGGAGAGTTTTACAGCTGATACAATGTGTTGCAAGCACCACCTACTTCTGGTTTTCACCACTTAGTCTTGTGTTTTATAAGGTTGTCGCCTAAAAAAATCTACAGTCTTTGGGTTTGTGGGTGACAAAGTCAAGCTGACACAATATTCCCTAGAATGTGCTTTGGCAGCCACTGCCCTGTGCCAGGATTCCTGCTCAGTGCAGCACAGAGCCTGCCCAGGATGGTACCACAGAGGGTGCTGAGCTTCCCCATGGCCCTGCATCTGTGCAGAACAAAGGTTTAGCAACTGCTGCAAGGAAATGTAGGATGAGTATTGATGCTGGGCTGTGCTTTAGGAGAATGAGAGGCTGAAGCAGGAGATTTTTGAGAAGAGCAGTCGGATTGAGGAGCAGAATGAGAAGATCAGTGAGTTGATCGAGCGCAATCAGAGGTAAGAGGTGGGAGGGTGCACCTCGCTGCATTTGCTGACTTCCTAGCTTGGTTAGACATAACTGAGGGGTCTTCTTCAGGATCAAGCCATCTTCTGATAGTTTTAATCTTTTTCCAAGGTGTTAGAAGTGTGGGGATTCCCTCCCACCTCTCTTCAGCTGAAAACCAAAACTCTCTCTCCAAAACTGTAGCTTACAGTAAACATGAATGTGTAAAAGGAGGAAACCCCTCATGCTGTCTTGGAGCACACCTGTCCTGCTTCTGGGAGTACCTTTTGCTAGCTTTGTAGTAAGGTGGAAGAAACTGTAGGGGTTGTGATGGCCCTGGGTGAGTTCAGTCAATATCAAGTTATCAAAACTCTTAACTGTGTGATAAGAACATTAAATGCTTCCAGAGAGGTAAAGCACATACTTAAACTGATACCATCTCTGCCAAGCATACCTATTCCACCCCTTGGAGATCAGATTAATGCAGGGCATCGTGCAAAATTGACTAGGAGAAGTTTGTTTCCATGAAGGAAATGGAGCTAACTTCTGTGCTTTGAAATATCACTTTTCTGTCTGAGGTTTTTGCTCCAGGTCATGTATTTACATAACTGCTCATGGAGTCTCTCCTGTTCACAGGTATGTTGAGCAAAGCAACTTGCTGATGGAGCAGAGGAACCATTCACTGCAGGCAACAAATGAGAACACACAGGCAAGAGTGTTGCATGCAGAGCAGGAGAAGGTAATGGTGGCATGAGCAGAGCTGGGAAAGGGTTGGTTGTTGCACTGAATCATGCTGCAGCCTTGTTAGACAAGGCTTAAGGCAGTTCTCTAGACAACTGCAGGTCTGAACTGTGTTATGGAAGCTGTTTTGAGGGGAAAATTAAACATTTTGATGGCTTTCATGTTAAAAGCATCAGAGGATGTAACTGTGGATCTTTATTCTGTCACAATTTGATTGTTATCTTGCAGGCAAAGTGATTTGTTGTGAACTGTGTAGATGTGTGGCCAGTATGGTGAGGAGTTGTGTATAACAGGGCTTTTGGGTTGAAAATACTTGAGTTATTTAGTTGCACTGACAGCTCTGAAAAGTTTTGTTCCTTCTATTTAACTGTTTAATTATTCATTCTAAATAGAGTGAATGCAGCTATAAGAAAAATTATTCCCTATTAGAGTTTCTTCATTGCACTTTTGAGCTCTTTTTAATGCTAATCTAAAGCTGTTTGTTTCTACACATTGTGCCTTTGTGAAAGGAGCTATTGGGAAACAGCTTTTAAACCAGTTAAATGCACTTCTGCATGGCTGCACATGCTGACCCATCCCCTGAGGGCAGCCTAGCCCAGGTGTGCTGGCTCTGGGCTCTGTCCCTGCATGGTGTCTGCTCTGCTTCCCCAAGCACTGGCTGCTTAAACTCCACCAAGTTCAGCCTTGCCCTGTGCTCCCCTGCTGAGCTGTGGATCTCCAGTTCAAATGTGAGGTGACAAATGCTTGTTCTGCATGAGAACCAGAACTTGGTGCACCTGAAAGTGGCAAAGTGCAGCTTTCCAAAGGCTGGTGAGGAACAGAGCGGTGTGTGATGGGTGTGAGCAGGCAGGGAAGTGGGGCTGTGGGTTTCCACTGAAAGCTCAGGTTGCATAGCCATAATATGTAGGGAGGGGGAGAGATTCTAACCAGGAATAAGTCAGATTGAAATGTCTTTGTCACTGAGCACAGCATGCAGCTTGCACCCTAAGTGACTTGGGGAGGAATTCTCTTTTGAAAGTATGAGATGATCAGGAATCTTTTGGGCCTCATCATCAAGGATCCCACTTGATGCAACCTAGGTGATAGTATTACACAACAGACCTCAGGCAAGACCAGCAAAACCATGACATGTACTGGGAGAAGCTTTCCCTTGGTTCTGTGACTGGAAGTATGAGGTCTGGTATTCCTTCCTCTTCTGTTTAGCCTCCCCCAGCTTGCTCTGTGACTGCAGTCACTGAGATCCCTGGGGACAGACAGAATCATGGGAGAGAACTTAAAGCTATTTTACCTATCCTTTCCTCACAAATAGGCACTCACCATTTGTTTGGTGGTCCAGGCCCTACAGTTGTGCCAGGATCACCAGGAAGAGGTGTTTGGAGCTTACTGCTTTTGGGTTATAGATCTTTGGCCCTGGCAGGGCACAGCAGTAGGTGCAGGCTTTGTGTCCCAGAAGGCTAACACTCCATCTCTGACAGGTCACATGCAGGACTTCTCCTACCTCTGTGGTGTGTAGCATACCTGTAAGGATACCTTTAGCATCTTTCTTTTTCCACCAGGCTTCACTACACTTGTCTGTCTAAGCTTTTACAGTTCTTGGAGTAATGTAAAGGCTTCTCTGGCATGCCTTAGGCTCCTGTTATGAAGCATTTTGCTTTTCTGCTGATGAATGCCTCTGCCTTTCAAGTTGTGTTCTTAACTCTTCCTCTTTCCTGTCACTGCTTTCTCTTCCTAGCACATGCTGCCAGTGGATCGGGGCTGGGACCAGGTGAGGCAGTGTCTGCTGACTGTGGAGGTGACACACAACTGTGCCACAGGGAATGCCAGCCCAGCTAGAAACTGATTGGCATTGAAAGAATTGTCTCAGACCTTGAAGGAGCACAGATCTTCCCCCTGGAAAAGGGCTTTAGAACTGGCAGTGTAGCCCCATGGCCTCCTGTTCCTTGGGGAGCCCTTTCCAAGAGCTCTGTCACATTGCTGCTCATTCCACCTCCCCGTGGGAGAAACAGGGCATGGTCATATCACTGTCAGAGCAGGTCACACAGGATTCATGGTGCCTGAGAGCTGGAGGCTGAGCTGGTGTGGGCATGAAGCATTCACTGCAGAAACTTCTGTCTAGCAACACTTCCATAGGATTTCCTATTTTTGTTGTCTTTATTTGCCATTGAAGACAGAGATAAGTGTTAAACTAACCTTTAGATGTGTTGTAGCTATGCCATGGGGTTTGGGTTTGGTTTAGCATGCCAGGAGTTAATATCCTGAGCTGTAGAGACACATTGGTGGAGACATAAGAGGAAGGCAGGTGTGGTTATAGCCAGGCTCTGTGGTATCCCAGCCCTCAGGGTCAGCAACATTCATCCTCACCATAGCTGGAACAGTTTTGCTCACAGCTCTTCTCTGCCAGGTAGAGATGATCCTAGTCTGAAGTCCTAGGGGGATGAATCAGAGCAAATCCAGTTCTCCTGAACTTAGCAGTTCCAAGAACATGAAAGCCTGTTGGGAATCTCGATGTAGGCATAAGTGTGGAAGCTGTTTAGGTATTCCCTGTGCAAGTTCTGTCTTTGCAGAGCATCCTCTGAATTTTGTGTGTCATGCAACAAGATTGGGAATGTGACTTTGTGTCTTTGTCTTGATGCCTTGAGCCTCCCCTAACGTTGTCTGTGAGTTGTCCAGCAAGCTGTACTAGTGCCTGGTTTTCATGTGAATCACTGACTCAGCAGTGCTAAATCTAAACAGCTCAACAAATGACCGAGGACTGTGCTCTGAAATGCTGCCCCTGCCCCCGTGGGCAGTTCAAGGGGGCTCTGTGCTGTGTGCTCTGAGGGGAAGGTGCTCCTGTGGCTGGGACAGACCTGTGTTTTATGTGCCTCTTCAGTGGTTTGTAAGCTCAGGGAAGATAATTAGATGTTGAAGCCCAGGCTTTTACTTGACTAGCTATTGCCATAGCCTAAGAACTCTGAGCAGAGGCACCAGGCACAGCATTAGGCTTAAAAACACATTTAAGCTTTTCAGGAAACCTCACTGAGTTGAACTGATGTGGTGATGAGGCTGATGGTGGCCTCATGCAACTTTCTAGTCAGTCTGAACAGGTTACAGCCAGTAACACACAGTAACGTGGCAAAAACCTCTTCCATTTGGAGCTGTCTTCCCTGATAAGGTCTCCAGCACCTTATCAGCTCTTCCAGGGAGAACAGTCCTGGTGCCTCCTCAACATATCCTTTTTTTCCTTTCCCCTGCTCCATTTTGTGCTCCAGGCCAAGGTTGCAGAGGAGTTAGCAGCTGCCACAGCCCAGGTGTCCCAGCTGCAACTGGAGCTCACTGCCCACCAGAAGAAGGAGATGGAGCTGAGGAAGCAGCTGTCTGCAGCTGTGCAGGACGCAGAGCGGCACGAGGCACAGCTCAACAAGCTGCAGGCACAGGTAGCAGGTGAGGCTGCTTGGGCATGGGCCAGGAGAGCTCCTTTGTCTCTTTCCCAAGTTAGTTTTTGCCTCTCTTCTGGGGTATCTATTCTTACTTTCCCCAGGAGCAGTCACAGGGTGTGGAAGAAGGATATGGATGCACTGAAATATCAGCAGGTTATGTTACCACTAAAGGAAAGTGGCCAAATCAATGAACAAATCATCCTGTCACAGGGATGCCTTGTAGAATAATTTCTTGGCATTTCTGTCCAACATCTTGTAGAGGAACCTGAGATGTTCCAGTGAGGGAAAAGTTAAGATAAAAGCTGAGGTGTTTGTTGTCCTGTGCTGGCACTGGTGAGGCACCTCCAATCTTGGGGTTGGTTCTGGATTCTCACTGCAAGAAAGACATCGAGGTGGAGCATATCCAGAGAAGGGAGCAGAGCTGGGGAAGGGGCTGGAGCACAAGGAGTGGCTGAGGGAGCTGGAGGGGCTCAGCCTGGAGAAGAGGAGGGTCAGGGGGGACCTTTTTCTCTCTACAACTCCCTGACAGGAGGTGCAGCCAGGTGGGGATTGGTCTCTGCTCCCAAGGAAAAGTGACAGGACGAGAGGAAACAGCCTCAAGTTATACCCGGGGAGGTTTAGATTGGATATTAGGAAAAAAATTCTTCATGGAAAGGGTTGTCCAGCCCTGGCACAGCTGCCCAGGGCAGTGACGGAGTCACTATCCCTGGAAGTGCTCAGAAAACATGTGGATATGGTTTAGTGGTGACCATGATGGTAGTGCAGATGGTTGGACTTGATGATCTTGAAGGTCTTTTCCAACCTTAACCATTCCATGAGCCAATGACAAGCTTTGCCACCTCACAGAAGTTTTTGCTGAATTCTGGTCCCCACTGCAGGCACAAGCTGAGTTGTTGATTTCATTGTGCAAGAGTCACCAACCCCCTAAATGTGCTCACCCAAAATGCTTTAGTAGCACTGAAAGCCACAGTGAAGTGTTTTTGCAGAGCTCCAAGAGGCTTCTGAGGACACCCAGAGCAGGTTCAAAGCTGAGAAGCAAAGCCGCAAACAGCTGGACATGAAGATCACAGCGTTGGAAGAAGAGCTAACAGACCTGAAAGTGGAGAAGGAGACTCTGGAAAAGGTATGTGCAATGCCAGCAGCAGAGAGGTGCAGCTTTTAATGCTTTGCTGAGATTGAACCTAATGTTATTCCTTGTAAATATGCAATTTAAGTAAATCTCGGGTCATCTCAGAATATGTCAGGGTGGAAGGGACCACAGTGGGTCATCTGGTCCAATGTCCCTGCTCAAGCAGGGCCATGCTAGAGCCATCTGCAGGCAAGGATCTCTGTGCTGGTGGAGCCTTTGTGCTTGTGTGGGGTTTGTTTATTTATTTAATGTTTTAACCATTTTAATGTGTTAACCCTCCTACCTCTAAGGCAATCTCAGCTTGATTTCAAGTGACACTTCCTCGCTCAAAGAAGCTCTTTCTGCCTGAGGAAGAGAAGCTCCTTAGGTGCAGTCTGGCCTATTCTATGTCCTGTTCTGTATTGCAGAACCTTGCCGAGAGGAAGAAGAAATCCCTCTCAGAGAGAGCTCAGGCAGAGGAGGAGATGGAAGAGATACGCAGGTCATACCAGCAGGAACTGGACAAGCTCCGGCAGCTGCTGAAGAAGGCCAGAACTTCAACAGACCAGGCAGCAGCAGAGCAGGTGAGGAGTCAGGGCAGCTTCTGCTCCAAGTCTGGAAGGCTTGTAGGAACCTACAGGTAGGAAATAGTGTGCAAAATGCTCAGGTAGTGGAAGAACGAAAGCATTACCTGCTTGGGGTTTGGGGTTAGTGTCAAACTGAGGAAAGGAGAGGTCCCACATTGAGTCTGTACTAGAGGAAAGAGTATAGGACTGCTGAGGGGTGAAAGACTGCTTAGAAACGTGCCAGCAGGTCTGAAATCTGAGCCAGACCTGAATAGCCTGAGGGGTTGTGGCTGGATGTGAACTGGGAGGTGTGGACAGGAGCTGGTGGCAGCTGCAGGGCCACCCTGCGCATGAGTGTCTCAGCCTCAGGCAGGAGATGTCCAGCCCTGAGCTTTCACCCTCTGTGCAAATACAGATTGTGTGTGTATGTGCTTCTAACAATCTCTCTTCCATGCTGGGCAGCTGTCCCTCATCCAGGCAGAGCTGGAATCCCAGTGGGAAGCCAAGTGTGAGCGTGCACTGGCCTCAGCCAAGGAGCAGCATGGCCGACAGTACCAGGAGGTGTGTGAGCAGAGAGACTCCCTGCAGCAGCAGGTGTCCCAGCTGGAGGAGAAGGTAAAGGACTGCTCTCCATTGCTGAAATGGAATGTTAAATAACCAGTAGTCCTCTCCCATCTAATTGTGGCTTGGCTGTTTAATTCCTTGATGTTGTGGAGCTTGGTCTCAGCCATGGTTGAGTCGCTGAGCTCGTGAAAGAGAGAAAGCTAAGGTGCTAACAGGCTTGAGCTAAAGCAACAGCCAAAATCTTCTCTGCTTATCTGTACTGTTAGAGTGGCTGGTTTTGAGCAGAAACTTGTGAGGTGGGTGACACTGCAAGGGCTGTGACTGATGGCTGTAACTGTTCTTGTGTTTCAGCTTACAGCTCTAAAACACTCGAAAAAAGCAGAGGAGCAAAAATTGTCTGAGATTCAGCAACGTTTGGAGGAACTGGAGGCTATCCAAGAGAAGGTAAATGGAGTAACACAGCAGCTGGATAGGAACTGAGTGCAGGGATCATGAGCTTCAGGTCACTTGTGTCCAGAATAATAAGGATGTGAGTTCCAGGACAAAGAAGGGATAATCTCACATGGCTTGCAGCAAACTAGAACAGGTCCAGTGATGAACCTCAGCCCTTGTTTCACAGAATGACAGAGTCAATCATGTTGGAAAAAGACCCCTGAGATCATGACCTAACACCACCATGGCAACTGGACCATGGCACTGAGTGCCACCTCCAGTCCCTCTTTAAACTCCTCCAGGGATGGTGACTCCACCACCTCCCTGGGCAGCACATTCCAGGGTCTGATCAATTCACTAGGATCTCAGTAATGCTGCACCCATTCTTGGTGTTACTGGAGGAGCTGATGACACAGTTGTGGGTTTCCAAGGGTCTGGTAGGGTTGGGTGTCCTTGTTTTGGTGCTTTTACTTTCAGTCAACTTTGTGACTCTATCAAACCCTTCTTAAACCTTTTTTACTTTCAGTCAACTTTGTGACTCTCTATCAAACCCTTCTTAAACCTCCACTCAGCAATTTGTGCCTCACTAAAACCCTCCCAGATCCCCCATCCCTGGTGAGGCTCTTGTGGAGGTCTGTTGGAGCTGCTCTGACTGTGGCTCTCCCTTTGGCAGTACTCAGCCTTGCAGGCTGATGTTGTGGTGCTGAAGACTCGCTATGAAGAGCAGATCCAGGACCTGCAGAGGGATCAGGATGGATCTGCACCTGCAGACTTCACAGAAGAAGTGAGTTGGACTATCCAATGCCTTTCCTTACTAAGCAGCTCTATCTCCACTGACAGACTTCACAGAAGAAGTGAGTTGGACTATTCAATGCCTTTCCTTACTAAGCAGATCTATCTCCCTTGACTTTTTTTCACTTTGGGCAGAGATAAGCAGGAAACCCAGTATTTTTTCCACAGAGCACTGTGCTTGTAGCAGCAGATCGAGAGAGGAAGAAAGAATGGGATCTTATAAAATCATGGAATGGTTTGAGTTGGAAGGGCCCTTAAAGCTCATCCAGGGACACCTCCCACCAGCCCAGGTTGCTCCAAGCCCTGTCCAGCCTGGCCTGGAACACTCCCAGGGATGGAGCAGCCCCAACTTCTCTAGACAACCTGTGCCAGTGCCTCAGCACCCTCACAGCCAAGAATTCCCTCCCAATACCAAACCTAAATCTGTTCTCAGTCAGTTTAAAGCCATTCCCCCTTATCCTGTCACTCAAGGCCCTTGTGAATAGTCTCCATCTCTCCACTGCCTACTTTATTTGATTTTTTTTTTTAAGGCCCTTGTGAATAGTCTCCATCTCTCTGCTGCCCACTTTACTTGATTTTTTTTTTTTTTTTTTTAAACTGAAGCTTTTGAGGATAAGATTTAAAAACTGAAGTAAGAAGTGCATGCCAGTCTGCCTTGGGCTTATGCAACCTGCCTTGGATGGGAGGGTGGGTTTGCTGTAAGTACAACAGTTCAGAATTAAGGTGGCCTCATGTATTCAGCTTTGTTTTGGGGATTTATAGCTTGAAAAGTGGATTCTCTAAAAAATCCTATGTGTGCTTGGTTTTATTATTCCCCTATCCTGATATTGACTCCAGTGCTCCACATAACAATGAACTGTATCTTTGTCTCCTGTCTTGCACTTCTCTAGGTGAAGAAGATAATGAACAGTGTGTTTCAGTCTCTTCGGGGTGAATTTGAGCTGGATGAGAATTACAGTGGGAGGACAGTCCTGGGGGTGGTCATGAACACTATCAAGGTACAGCAGTGACAAGAGACATGAGGTGATGGGTCTGACAGAATAGGCCTGAAAGGCACAAATCTGTGTTGTGAGTCTGAAACAACTGAAGCAGAATTTGTTGTGGGTGGCAAAGCAGTCCAGAAGTAGGAGATAGGTTATACCCCAAAACAAACCATCACAGATCCATCTGTGTTCTCTATCCCATTGTTTTCAGACTGTGACACTGCAGCTACTCCAGAGGCAGCAGGAGAAAGCAGATGGTGACAGTAAAAAGGAGGAATCTGGAACAGGAGCAGTGAGACAGGAAGGATCACCTGGAGCAAAGACTGCCCACGAAGAGCCCATGCAGCACAGCCCAGCACAGGGTGTTGCATTCCCAGCTGATCCTGGGGTAGCAGCCCCAGGCTCCATGGTGTCTGAGCAGGAAGACGAGGCTGCTCCTCACTCTGCCAGGCCTGGAACTCCTCAGAAGGAGCAGACACAGAGCACTGGGGTGGCAGAAGAGGAGAAGGTCCAGAAAGAACATCTCTCTTCCACAGCTGAATCGTGCCTGGATCCTGAGAAGGGGCCTGTGCTTGAAGATCAGCCTGTTCCTGAGGTGGAGCAAAACCAGGAGAATGATCCCATTGGCAAAGCTAAGCCAGAACACAGTCCCTCTGGAGTATCTTTGCAGGCAGAAGTTGCAGAACTTTCTGTTCCAGAAGCCAAGCCAGGGGAAGAGCACATGGCAGAAAATCCAGCTGTGGAGCAGAAGGCAGAAGAGGCTGTGGGAGATTTAGAGCCTCCTCCCTTGAATGGGGAGGACACAGAGTCATGGGATGCAGCTGGCTCTGAGCAGGAGCCTCCCTCAGTGCCCAGCACAGCACAGCTGGGCTCAGCTGTCAGCAGAGAAGCCCCAGGACTGCAGGAATTGGGCTCCAGCCCCAGGCAAAAAGATTCCAGGTAAGATGTGATGCCTGGATCAGCTGGGGCTGGTACAGGTGTGTCCCTGCTGCAGGGCAGCACAGGTGGGGAAGCTGCAGCACCCTCATGGTTCTGGCACTGGGTGACATGAGCCAGGAGCTGGCACAGACCAGGCTGCCCAGGGCAAATCCTCTGGGAACAGCTGCAGAGGAGCTTGGGTGTGGTGGAGGCATCTCCAGGGATGATGGCACCATCCATTCCAATTGGAGCACAGAGGAGAGTGTACAGTTCCTGTACTGTCTGGTACTGGTGGCTGACAGGTCCCAGTGTCATCCTGCACTGCCTTTGTCAAAGCTTTTCAGCATTCTATGTCAGAACCCAACTCCCATCCTCTGTTCATTCTTTGTCTCTTTGTAGCCTCTTTGAGGATGAGAACTTTTTTGAAACAGCATCTCTGAAACCACTGAAGCCTCGAGTTCCCTCTGAGGAGGAGGATGAGGAGGAAGTGGTATGTATTTGTGTCTTTCCACCCCTGATCCAGGCATTAATCTGGAGCTTGTCTGTAAAATCCTCCCCATGGCAGTGGGGCACTGGCTGGTGCTGGGTGTGCTCAGAGCTTCCCAAACATTCCCTGTGGAACTCAGGAGTGTTTTGGGGTGGTGAGAGGAGCTCCCTTGGCTGAGGGAGTGATGACAGTCCTGCTGGCATGAAGTCAGTGAGACTTGCCAGGTTAATTGAAGGATTTTAGTGTCTGGCCCCTCTCTGATCCCTTTTAGCCTGTAAGCAGCTCCTGGAATCGTGGAATCATAGTATTGGTTGAAAAAGACCTTCAAGATCACAAAGTCCAACCATCAATGTAGCACCAGTGCCATGTTCGCCACTGATCATGTCCTCAAGTGAACACCCCCAGGGATGGCGACTCCACCACTGCCCTGGGTGCCTTTCTAATGCCTGCCTACCCTTTCCATGAAGCAATTTTCCCTAATATCCAACCTAAACCTAATCTAAATACTAAGATATTGTGGAAGAAATTACCACAGTTTCTTTCTTTATGAGGCTTCTAGTTCCAGTCTCCTGAAAGCTGTTGGAGATTTCAGAGCACTTTGGCTATGTCATGAAATCCCAGGAAGCTGTTGAGACTCAGCAGTTTCCCTGTGGTTTGACTTTCCAGAGCATGAAGGGTCGTCCTCCTCCAGCTCCACTCTTTGGGGATGATGACGATGATGATGATCTGGACTGGCTGGGATGAAGATTTGGCTGTGAGCCCTCTCCTCTGGGCATGGCCTCTTTCTGTGCACTGAGCACCTGGCAAGCTGCATCCATGGGACAGCTGGGAATGACCAGGGACTTCCCAGAGTCTGGTCCTGCAGACTGAGGGGGGCTGAGAGCAGGAGGCTTTTTGCACTCGTGGACACTCAGCCCTCTTGCTCTGACCTGCCAAACACAGAGAGCTTGGGCTGAGTGCAGGAACCAGCCAGTCCCATGGCATGTCCTCCCCCTTGTCCTCCTCCCCTGAGCCCTGGATTCATTAACCTCAGACTTTATGCAAACAGGAACTTTGTGAAGAGCTGTGGCAGAGAGAGGCTGGCAGGACCCTGCAGTGGCCACAACTTGGTAAAAAAACCAGACTAAATCTCATTTTCTGCCCCGGTGAAGGTCTCCTTGGAGTATTTCTTAGTCCCAGGGTCCCTGCACCTTCTCACCACTGTATGAGCCATATGCTGTTGGACATTCCACCAGGAGACTCCAGACAGGTGTTTCTTGTGAGCCACTGGCTCTACACAAGCAGCTGGGGGAACTCTAAGGGCTGAGGTGTTCCAGGTGGGCACTGAGTCAGAGCTGTGGCACAGGTGGTGCTGGACCTGCAGTGCCAAGGCCCTGTGAGATGCTGAACCAAGCACAGATGTAGCATCTGGTGATGGCTGTAAGGAGCCAAATCCCTGGCTGTGTGTCCTGGAGGACCCCAGGGCTCCCAGAGACTCACAGACACCTCCTCTTCCTGGGCAGAGATGAGGTGTGGCTTTGTGGGCTGTGCTTCCCTGGCTGGAGAGGCCCTGCAGGCAGCTCAGTCCTTCTGTGCCTTTTGCTCTGTTGCTGTTTCAGCTGTGATCATCGTAGCACGAGTTAAACCATCATGAGAGTAGGACACAAGCTGTAACGAGCCTCCCCAGGGAGAGGGTTTGGGATGTAGCCCTGCAGTCTGATGGGCCCAAGAGGGGAAGGCAGTGAGGACACAGCTGGGCAGCACCCTGGGGCTCTCACAGCACTCATTGGCACTAACAGACTTCAAACTTAGCAGCCCTTTTCCTTTCAGACAAATAACCTTCACTTAATAAAATGAAAAAGCTTAAACTAATTCTAGTGTAGTTTCTACACCTGCCTGTAATTCTGACTGGAATGAGATGTGTCCTCCCAGAGGTGATTCCTGGTAG